TGCCTGCCTTGGTCCCCTTCACAGTCTGGGAGACACGGTCAGCGGGTCCTGGCCTGCATGCTTGTGTTCCCCGCTGCACAGCCATGCACCACTCCCCCAGCCTGGCACCCCTTACAATTTGATTTTTTCGGAGTTACTTTGGACTTCATCCACCGTTGCCACGAACAGGAGGCGAACACGGTAGCTCTGATCTACTGCGAAGATCTGCACAGGGAGAGCAGGGGTGAGCAGGGCTGGGCAGGACACGGGGTGTCCCCAGACGGAGGGGGATGGGGGTGACTCTCACATTCAGCACAGTCTGTGCTGTGTGCACCGGTGCCTCGCCATCCCGAGCCTCCACTGTCAGCTGGTACTGCCCCTTCAGCGAGACATCAAGGTTGCTGTCCACCCTGCAAGGATGGGGGCATCGGTGATCCCATGGGCCATCCTTGGGAGGGCACTGCCATCCCCCAAATTCCGCCCTGCCACCAAGCCCAGGGCAGGACCCCAGGATGGCTTTGTACCCTTGCCATCCTGTGCTGGCCCTGGCTGCACGTCTGCCTTGCAGCAGGCAGGAGCTGAGCCATGTTCCCCCCACCCGGGCGCAGACCCATGGCCTCACAGGATGCTCCCGACGTAGCTGTCCTGCTCGGGCGTTGTCACCACCTTGAAAAGCTTCTCGAAGGGCTGGCTGACCCCGTTGTCCTGCACGAGCACCACACTGACAATGGAGAAGGTGATGGTTCCCCTCAGCCCCGAGTCAGCATCTGTGGCCTGCAGGGACAAAGCATGGCAGGAGAACCGGCGCCCGCCTGCCTACGATGGGGACAGGCGAGCTTGGCTCCACAGACTGACAGACACACAGCTCCTCACCTTCACGGTAGCCACTTGCAGGTTCTCAGAAGAGATTTCAGGGACAACCACTGCCGGGGACAGAGAGCGCGCGGTGATGCTCAGCCTGCACAGCCCTGGGGCTCAGCAGAGCTCCGAGCATCCCCCTGCTGCCCTCAGCCTCACAGCCTTCATGGAAAGCCTCGAGAAACCCCAGCCTGGCCCCTGCACCTCTCACAGCCTTCATGGAAAGCCTCGAGAAACCCCAGCCTGGCCCCTGCACCTCTCACAGCACTGCTCTGGCTGTCAGAAGGTCCCCGCTGCCGGGGAGCAGGGCAGAGCATGGGTGGGTGCAGAGAGGAGCCCGCCGGACGCACTAGCCTCAGCTGCTCACCAAAGGTTTCCAAGATGGGCAGGAAGAGCCGTGTGTTGTCATTCTCATCGATGATGAGGATCCTCAGGGTTTCTGCAAATGCCCCAAAAGCAGAGCTCTGGTCACCAACAGAGTGGCCCTGCAGCACCCTCCTCTGCTTCCCCTGGGAGTCCCATCCTCCCAGCAGGCTCAGGTCCCTGTGGCAGGGACCAAGAGAGCTGCGGACACCCACCCTCCATCACCAAGCCACCCGGCTCCTGCCCTGCTCCCCACAGCTCCTCCTGAGAGGTGGGAGAGGCAGGTCCCACCTCTCCCCATGCCCGGTGGCAGTGGAAGGAGCGGGCAGTGGGTGCCATACCGTTCTGGCTGTAGCGGTTGCCCCTCTCAGTGTACAGGTCTTCAGCCCGCAGCGTGAGCACCACCGTGTCGCACAGCTCATAGTCGATGTCCAAGCTGTTCACCAGCACTGAGCCGTTGGGTGCCAGTATGAACCAGTCCCAGCACACCTCCCCGGCGCTGCGAGCCCCCTTGAAGCAGGCAACTGCCAGCTCCCAGAAGACCAGCGAGTGGTTGGTGTCTGGATCAGAGGCGACCAGCGTGTGGACCAGACCCTGCTGTGTGCCATTCTCGCTCACGTTCACGTCCCGTAGCGAGTTAGGCAGGAAGGTGGGGGGCTCGTCATTGATGTCTAGGATGTGGACCACCACTGAGGCATTGGCAGTGTCCCCCACATTGTCTGCAGCTGTGTTCTCTGCCAGCACCACCAAAGAGAAGAACTTCTGCTGCAGGGTGTCATAGTCCAGGGATGTGTCGGGGTCCACAGACAGCTGCCCACTGTAGTGCCCTGGCCCCAGGTGGGACGAGCGGATCAAGAAGTTGCTGGAACCACCACCCCTCTGAAGTAGGAAGGAAATGCGGGAATTGATCTCTGTCCGGTCGGCATCTGTGGCCTCCACCTCACCCACGAGGGACCCTGCAGGTGGAGACAGACACTCAGTGGCCAGCGGGCACTGACGCCGGGACACAGCTGGTCCCACACGCCTGGCCACGCAACTTCTACCTGGAGAGTCTTCAAAGACTGAGAACTTATAGGACTGGTTGAGGAACATGGGTGCATTGTCGTTCATGTCCTGCAGGAGACAAAGCCCATGGCTGTAGCAGCTCCAGGAATCAGGGTCCCCCACAACAGGCTGGGGACAGGAGTGTGGACACCTGCCTGCCCGCAGGCAGGAGGCACACAAGCCCTCTCCTGCCTCCCTCCATCAACTATTCCCTCTGCCCTCACAGAGAGTCTGGGCACACGGTGCCCCTGCCACAGCCAGGGATCCCACATCCCCTCCCTGCCCATCCATCCCAGCTCCAAGTCCTGGCCTGCCCCAGCGTGTCCCCACTTGCGCACAGGGCTCACCCCCACAGTGATGGTGACGTTCACCGAGGTGCTGAGCTGTGGCACGCCGTGGTCGTACACCTCCACTCCCACCACCATCTGCCCCCGCTCATCTTCCAAGGCCTCGCGGTCCAGCGGCTCCTTGCTGTGCATCTCGCCTGTGGTCACGTCGATGGTGAAGCTGTTGCTGAACGGTCCCGGCAAGATCTTGAAGCCCAGTTTGCTGTTGGGGTTGCCAGGCTCGTCGTTGTCAATGGCCTGAAAAGGTCAGAGGTTGAAAGGTCAGGGTGGCGACACCTCGGAGACAGTCCCTGCTCCCCTCTCACAGCCCCCTGTCATCCCCTCCGTTCGGGCATACCTGGATCTGCGTGCTGACATTTTGCCCCTCTTCCACAGAGATGAAGTAAGAGCCAGTGATGATGGGTGCCATGTCATTGTCATCCAGCACGGTGATCTCCAGCACCGTGGTGCCCACCAGGTTGTCCCCATCCTTGGCCTGGAGGTTGGCATAGTAGATAGAGCGAGTCTCCCGGTCCAGCAAGCTCCCGTTCTGAACGAGCACTGCTCCAGTCGTGGCGTTGACCATGAAGATATTACGGCTATGGCACATATGGAACTGTCACTGGGGTTCGGGACTGGAGCCCCCTTCCCAGGACGATGCCCTGGTTGTGGCTGGCCATGCCCCTACGTACATGCTCTCTGGGAGCAGCTGGTAGGTGATCTGGCCCAGGATGCCACTGTCCCGGTCGTAGGCCTAAAAGAGAGAAGGAGGCATCTGGTCAATGTGCCTCAGCCCCTAGAGCAGTGATGAGCCTGGGGCACTGGCTGCTGGCAGTGAGCACCCCAAAAACATGGCCCTGTTGGGCACAGGGTCCCATACCCTGTGTGCCCACTGGCACTGTCTCCTTTCTGAATGCATGGAGAGACCAATGACCTCAACACAAGCTGCACTAGCAGTGCCAGATGTGCCCAGTGCCCTGCTTTGGGGGACATAAGGGGTGCCCACTCCATGCTGAGCGCCTGACCGTGATGTTTGGGGAGACGATGGTGCCAGCAGGGCTGTTCTCCATCACGCTCAGGTTGTAGGTGCTCTGGGGGAACTCAGGGATGTGGTCGTTGCTGTCAATGAGGCTGATGGTCACAGTGGCTGTGGAGCAGCAGTCTGTGGGGTTCCCTGTGTCATTGGCAACAATCTGCAGGACAGAGAAAGGGAAGGTGTCTTACATGGGTCCCCAAACATGAGGAAGAGACCTGTCGTGCTCCAGCCCAGCATCCCTGCACCAAACAAGCTGGCAGGGCACAGCCATGTTCTGCTTTGGCTTTTGAACACTGCAGGAGAAGGGCTGTGTCCCCGCTGTGCCCTGGCATATGCAGGGAGCAGGGACTGTCCCCACAGCGAGCCAGCCCCATGGGTCCCACCTGCACCACCATGACATGGCTTATCTCGTAGTCCACAGAGGACGGGTCTTTCACCAGGAGCTGGACCTCCCCTGTGCCAATGATCTTTGTGGGGGAGACAGTGAAGGCGTTGGAATTTGGACCCTGCAGGTACAGCTCAAAACTGCTGTTGATGCTCTGCCAGGGAGAGACACAGAGGAGTGAGGGTGGGTGGTGCAGCAAGGACAGGCACCTGCACCCCGGCCCAGCCCCTTGGACAGGCGCCCACCTTGTCTGGGTCGTGGGCAGTGATGCTGAGGTTGGACACAGGCAGTCTGGAGGAGGAGTGCTCTATGATTTCGCCCCAGAAGTTGTTCTGGGCACTGGTGGAGAAGTTGCAGGTGGAGAGGGAGCAGTGGTAGAACTGGGGCTTGTTGTCATTGACATCTGTCACCATGACTGTCACCAGGGTGCTGGCCTGGGCCACCTCGCCATGAATGTCCAGGTTCACCTCAGATGCCTGGGCAAGAGGAGACAGCAGGTCAGAGGGGCCTGGGGAGAGGAAAAGGATGGGGTTCCCCTTGCTGCCTCCTACTCACCGTGACTTCCAGCAGCACCTCCTCGCTTGGCAGCTGCTCACGGTCCAGGAGCCCACTCACAGTGATGGTGCCCGTCGTGGCATTGATAGCAAAGGGGGAGCTGGCAACTAGGGCAACGAGA